GAACCCCTTTAAAGTGAATGAGATCCCTATTAAAATTAATACGAATCCCATTAACATGAACAAGAATCTGATGAAAATTGATAGGAATCTTATTACATGAGTAGGAGCCTTATTAAAATAATTCGGATCCTCTATTGAATTATCGGAACCAGATAACAGTTACTAGGACGGAAGCCTATTAAAATGAATAGGAACCCTTGACAAATCAAAAAGAACCCGGGTTACAATTCACATGAATCCTATTAAAACGAGAAGGAATCTTACTAAAATGAATAGGAACCAATAGGCCTGCAAAACAATAGAATCCTTGTACAAGAACAAATAGGAACCCTACTAAACTAATAATTATGAGCCTAATCCTTAAAATTAATTAAACCCCATTGCGAATCCCAGTAACATGAATAAGAACCCTGCTTAGATTGATAGGAACCTTATTACATTGGTAGGAGCCTTAGGGCGTGATGTCTTAAAATATGTTGCTAAGGTACGGTGTTTAGTATAGATATTAGGTTTTGCTTATTGGGGGATGATTGCTTGATACATCCTAGCTAAGGTATAGTTTTTAGGACAGATGTCATGCTTTGCGTATTGGGGCGTGATTGATTATATGGAGGTTTTGGTACTCTCTCGAGATTTTGCAGGATTCGAGTTTGTTTTTTGGTACCTCCTCGAGAAATGGTGGCTGGGAGAGAGCCTCAGATCACGAAATTCATGGAAAACATTCGTTCTACCAATGTTGTTGAAAGATGGAGCCGAAAAACATTGGTAAAACCGACGTTTTCCAAAAATCCATGATTTTCAAACATTGTGGCCGCGAGCACGAAATTCATGGATAACATTGGTTTTTACCAATTTTTTGAAGGATGGAGCCAAAAAAACGTCGGTAATGCCAACGTTTTCCAAAAAACCCATGCTTTTCAAACCATCTGGCTGGGAGCACGAAATTCATGGATAATATATCAACGTTGTTTAAATTTGTGCAAAGCAGGACCTAGAGAGAATCTTTCATCGCCCACCAGATGAGAGAAACACAGAATGCCATGTGCTTGATTGTCCAGGTTAGTGCTTTTGTCACGTACAAAAGGGCACTCAGAAATATAAAACACACACAAAACACAATACCAAAAACAACTGTACAAAAAAAACGTACGAAAATGAAATAACACCTAAAAGCCTAAAGAAAAAACCCAAAAAACACCCTTCAGAAGACACCGAAAAACCGTACAAAAGAAAATGGTACAGCAAAATCTCCAATAATACACAAAAGTCCTCGAAAAACCAAAAAAACCAAAAAAACCAAAAAAACCAAAAAAACCAAAAAAACCAAAAAACCAAAAAAACCAAAAAAACCAAAAAAACCAAAAAAACCAATCCTGAGAGACTCTTCCCAGGGGGTCCGGCTCCCCAACAGAGTCCCTCAGGATTGGTTTTTTTGGTTTTTTTGGTTTTTTTGGTTCTCTTGCACAAGAATCCCCCCCCCAAAAAAAAAACAAGAAAAACCAATCCTGAGAGACTCTTCCCAGGGGGTCCGGCTCCCCAACAGAGTCCCTCAGGATTGTTTTATTTATTATTTTTTAGTTTTTTTGGTTTTCTTGTTTCTTTTTCATTATTTTTGTTTTTGTAGGGATTTTGTGTGTGTTTTTGCTTGTTGCAAGTTTTTCGTGTGTTTTTATAGTTTTTTAAAAGTTTTGCGTGTTTTTTTGTGGAAGAAGTGCACTCCCACAGCGTCCCATTTTCTATATATACATATCTACATATACATTTATGCATCTGGGTTTAAGGCTTTAGGGTGTGAAGACCTTTCAGGAAATCCCTAAACCCACCCCCCACCCCTCCCCCCCCCCCCTGCCACCCCTAAAATTTAGCCTAAACCCTAAAGCAAGGGCTCTCCAGGATTAGGGTTTAGGGGGGTTCAGGGTGTGGGAAAGCCTGCCGCCTAAGCCCTTAATCCTCAACGGCCGCCTCCTCCCAGCCAGCGGGGGGCTTGGCCGGCAGTGCGGGGCGCGTCTGCGGGATGTTGCCGACGCTCTGGCCTGTTGGCCAGAGGGTATTTACGGAGTCCCGACAAAACCCTGAGTTGTAGCATTTGTGCAATGGGATCTCTATTCCAAGTACGAATATGGAAATGAAAAAGACCACGAAACCTATTTAGAGACCTATTAAACCCTAACCCTAAACCCTAGACCACTAAGAACCTAAACCCTAAACCCCAAGCCGCAGACCCTAAACCTTCCGCCGCAGGGAACCCTTTCTTCCCTGTCCGTGCTGGACTTGCCAAACTCCAGACTTCAAAAGAAAAAGGGCCCTCTTCAAAGATAACTTTTGGGGTAGGGTTTAGGGTTGAGGTTCTGTTCTTCTTTTTTATAGGGGTTTAGGGTAGGTAAATTGTAGTTTGTGAAGAGAGCTATATGGGTAATGTAAGGGACAAACTGGAAAAACAAAACAACTGAGGCTCCTGTGAGAGTACGTTGCGAGTTTTTTCGGGGATACCTTGGGATGTTCCCTTATACTAACAGTCCTTAATAGGGACTATAGTACCCACTCTTATTATCCCAAATCTGGCTGTTAGCATAATGGGGATCGCCCCGGGATATCTGTTTTAGGGAGGCCTTGCGCGCGTCGTCGCACGCTTTGGCGCCAGCTCAAAAGAAGGGTTCTTAACCGCACGTGCTATTCGATGGTAGTGTTCGTGAGGGTTAACCCTTGCGGTGTGGTCCGGCTTAAGGTGAGGGAAATGCCTGGCAGCGCCTACTTCTAAGTAGTATGGAAATTGCACACCACCACGTCTACCTTTGAGGAGAATTCTATCTTTTTGTACGAGGCCCCGAATACAATGTCATGTGTGATCTGATCCCTGTCCTGTTGAAAGACACTAACTAGGTATCTGTACTGGGCGTCGTTAAGGAATTGCGAGGGCAATCTAGGGTATTGGGCGCGTCTCCAAACCTCGGAGTTGGGGATTCGTGAGTAATAAGATGCCTTAATTCTAAGTGCTCGCCAAAGGAACCGCTAATACTGGCCGTCAACCCTGTGGAGCTGTTTATCCGTTAGGGTAAGTGCTTCAAGTCCGTACAGAAGAACTGGCAGGAATGTAGCATGAAAGACTGTTAGTCGTTCTTTGAGGGGTATGGAGCTGTTCCAGACCAGTCGGAGCTTCTTAAAGGCTTCCTCTGCTAAGATCAACCTATGTTGGAAAGCTATATCAAAGGGTTTGATCCAGGAGAGCTGTGATCCTAGGTATTTTGCTTGCGGTGTGGTCTTGACTGCCGAACCATCCCAGAACTGGAGTCCTGCTGAGCCCGATTTGGGGTGTTCGATAACTTCCGTCTTAGATTGATTTAGCCTTATACCATACTCCGCCGCAATTGCTTCGAGGCAAGACAGCATGTTTTGGAGTTGCGGTGCGGTCAAGCCCATGAGCAAAGTGTCATCCGCGTACTCAATATCATAGGTGGGGCGTTGGGTAGACCAGATGTTAGTAGGGGTGCCTTGCTGCAGAAGCATATGATCAACATCCGACACGATGGCAGTTAGAACAGCTATGAAAAGATAAGGGCTCAACGGGCAGCCTTGCCTTATACCCGCCCCCACCTTGCCCTTTGCTTTCGCGTCACCGAATCCGCGCTTGTAAAAAATCGGGTTGGCATATATGGAACGAATCGCATGGAGCATTCTAGTTGAGGCACCTAAGCGTTTGAGAGCTTCCAACATGGCGGTGCGGTCTAGGGAGTCGAATGCCAGCCTCCATGCAGTCAAGGAGCAGGAGGTGCAGCGTGGTATCAGTCTATAGGGACCACTCTATAGCCCTACGTATCACGCATAATGGCTCTCTAGTACCGCGGTGTGGTCGAAATCCGAACTGCGTACGTCTAAGTCGAGGCTCCATTGTGTTTGACAGGCGTCGTTGAAGCATGGTCTGCGTCAGAGCCTTTGCCCTTATAAATACTCACAACCCATGCCTCTACCCAAGATTCATGCATTTCTCCTGTCATCCGCCCTATTATATATATCCAAAAGGGTTTCTAGTGCGGTGTGGTCCAACAGTAACCAAACTTCATTAGGAACTGCGTCTGGTCCGGGCGCCTGTCCTGCCTTAAGCTTAGAGAGGGTCATGTTAAATTCGGGGTCTAGACTGCCTTCCCTGTATGTCTTCCGGCGGTATGTTCGGCTGTTGCCACTGCGAATTTTGGAGGTGATTACGAAATACCATGTGTGTCTGTGACCAAGGCTGCGGAATACCATTTTCCTCAAGGTGACGTCTGACCCCTACAAATCCCTTCTTTTGCCGTCGAACAATGTTCCAAATATTGGAGTGTGTGGCCGAGGGGTCGCTGCTGAGTTGTTCATGAGTCCATGCTATCCTGTCTTTTCGGGCCATACGCTTGGCCACATTTTTAAGATGTTTCCAATCATCCGCTTGTGTTGCTTGCGCCTGCCTAGCCTGCGCAAGGGCCTGCAAAGTTTCCTCCCTTATCCAAGGAGTGCGCGGTGCTCTGGTGTGATACGGGAATGTAAGTTTAGCTGCTTGGTTCAGCTACCTCCAAGCGAGCGGAAACTAGTTTTACTCTTTTCTGCTAATCTAGCCGCTCTCTCATTTCCCTCGCTGCCTGCATGGCATCTGATCCACAACACACACGGGGCTTACGAAAAGAAGGGACCCATGGGGACCCGCAACTTAGACCCCCAAATATATAACAATGACCCCAACACGGTACCCTAAACCCTAAACCCGAAACCCTAAACCCTACATCTTTGTGGAGATGCGATGCCCGCCTATGGCTGCCAACCAAAGCTCCGTCACATCTCGGGGAATCCGTCGCAGAATCTTCGGACGCAGTGACCCAGCAGCCCGATGATAGGCAGCCCATCGAGCGACGCAGGGTGCGTCAGAACACAGTCAACCAGGTTCTTCCATCCAAGCCCAGACCCGCCGATGATGTTGTTCAGCATGCTCATTGGCCTTGCTGTGTTTGCTACGCTGTCTACAAAGGTCTCCTTGATTATAGCGAGAACAGTCTGGACATCGGCGAGAATCTTCGGCGCGAACAGCTGATTGGCGGTGTGTGTGTCCCTTCGAGTCCGCCAGAGGCACTCACCCCGACCTTCGCATCAAGATCGGTAATCACCTGGGACACGTCCGTGGATATCCTCATACCCTTCTTCAGAAGGTTCGGCAGCATTCGTCCGCGGTGCGTCAGGGTCTTGTTGTAGGGTACAAGGTTCACCAGTATAGCAGTTTTCATCCGATTCATGGTCTTCTTGCGAACATCGGCGCCGTCGACGATGGCATCCCGCACCTTCTTCAGCTTGTTGATGAAAACCGTTGCGTAAGGCTCGCTGAGCACGTTGCTGGGTGGCATTGCAGGGTCATCATATGTTTCCACTCTGATCAGCATGTCGTCTCCGGTGCCAATCAGTTCGCAGTTCTCCTCCATAGACCACACGTCCGCAGATATGTCTGCCTGCCCGTCGACTGTCCAGCTGGTTTGCCCCGTGCCCTCACAGAGTCTGCCAGTGGACATGAAAGACGACCGCCAGTTTTGGTCGATCCACTGCGCGCGCTGCTCATCATTCATCTGTCCGAGCATCTCTCTCTCTCTCTCTCTCTCTCTCTCCCTCTCTCTCTCTCTCTCTCTGTGCAGCCAGGAGATCTTTGTACTGCGCTATATGATCCATGACGGTCATGTGGCGTTCCTCAATTGACATCTTGTCCAGAGTTGCAGTCATGTCCTCTGACATCACGATGTGCCCGTCTGGCAGCAGTGATGCATTAGTGGAGATGTCTTAGCTATGTGGGTTCGAGGGAAGGGGGGAGGCCTTGGGGGGAGAGCCTCTCCCCTCGACTTGGGAATCCAACGCCCCCAAAACCCCACGCCACCCGAAGACCCTTAAACCTTGGGGATGTTCCCCCTTATGCTGATACTGACAGCCCTGAATAGGGATTGTAGTACCCCCGATTGTAATCCCGACTAAGGACTGTTAGTATAAGGGGCAACATCCCAACTTAAACCCCCCGAACCCCTAAGCTCAAAACCCGTCAACCCCTGAACAAAAACGCAAATCCAAAAACAAACTACCCCCCCCCCCTAATCATCTTCCCCCAACAAAAAAAGAGACTATCCTCCAGAGTCCTGAAACATGCTAAACAACCACCCCACACCCTAAAAACCCTAAAAACCCTAAAAACCCTAAAAACCCTAAAACCCCTAAAACCCCTAAAACCCCTAAAAACCCTAAAAACCCTAAAAACCCTAAAAACCCTAAAAACCCTAAAAACCCTAAAAACCCTAAACCCTGAACCCTAAGCCCTACACCCTTAAAAAAAACACCTGGCTCCCGAGGGCGCACCACAAGACTCACCCGACTCCAGTGGCTCGGCACACAGCATCTCGTATGTGACCGGCCTGGCAGAAGGGCCCCCCCTGGTTCTTCGTGGGGAATAGAATCCCTTAAAGGGTTTATGCAGGGGGATTCTATAAGGTACCCTGTATAATCCCTTAAAGGGTATATGTAGGGGGACTATACGGTACCGTATATAATCCCTTAAAGGGTATATACATATATATAGAGAGAGGGGGATATAGGGTACCGTATATAATCTCTTAAAGGGTATATATAGGGGAATATAGGGTACCCTATAACATCCCTTAAAGGGGTTTCCCTACTAAGAACCAGCCAGAGGGGGCTCGTGAGAAACTGTGTTTTTTCGTTCATTTTGTTGAGACAAGGCTTGGGGTCTTGGGTTTTAAGAGTTTGGGGCTTGGGGTGTTGAGGGTTTAGGGGTTTACGGGGCAGTTTTACGCTTTTTGAGTTTAGGGTATAGGGTTCAGAGTTAGATTTCATGAAAGGGTTCGGCTTATGGGGGGCTAGTCTGACCCCGCGTACATAGTTTTGCCCAGCTCGCGCAGTTGTTGCCGGGTTGGATACCCGCCGACCACTCTCAACCCGGCCGCAGGCATCATGAGTCTGGATATATCTTGAGCTCGGCATGTAGCGGGAAGAAAAAACAAGGTACAACCATTACACCCCGCAACAGGCAGCTATAAACGCTCTGGAAGAACCCGAACTTCACACCTTCGACCCAACTCTCTGAGCCAACATTCAGAATTAGAACCCTAAACCCTAAACCCTAAACCCTAAGCCCTAAAATGACACCAAACCTTGATGCGGACCATGCACCGTATCCCTAGCTGTTCCAAATTCTATTGATCTTACAACTCTCCCCCCCCGCGTGAACAAGCCAATGCAACTGCAGCATGCAAGTGCCTGCATCTTCTCTGCACATGTAAAGAAGGGTAATATGTCAACAGGTTTGGAAGGGGCAATGAAGGCCCTCAGGTGAAGCCTCGACCTGACACACCCTCTAGGCCTCTAAACCCCCCCAAAACCGACCCTAAACTCTAAAACGGGTTTAGGGTTTAGGCTTAACCCTTCAACCCTAAACCTAAACCCTTAACACGCCAAAACATCGGCGGCGTGACGGCGCTGGATTCGCGGGCGCCGGGTTTGGGGGTGGGTCCTCGCAGGAGGATTATAAGGTTCTTAAGGGAGGGGGGGTTCAAGGGGGGTTTTAGGGTTTAGGCTTTAGGGTTCAAGTGGGGCATGAAACACAAGGTGCCCTGAGACTTCCCACTACTCCCAAGCTTCCCGAAGGTTCGGTACCTACCCTGAACCAAAAACCCTAGACCCTAAACCCCAACCTCCCATGAACCCCTTCTATTAAGGACGCTATAACTGGAGCTCGACGTGCAGGAGCGCAGGAGTTTCTCAAGGGCCTCGGAGCCCTCAAGGTTGTGCCCTTGGGTTTGGGGACCCTGTTGATCAAGATTTCCTAAGGGAGTATCAGGGCCAAATGGGGGTTTCCGATCTTAGGGGTACCTTGTTGTGGTCCATAAAATAAGGGAATCCTACTATTTGGGGGTCTATTCTGAGGGTCGGGTATAGACAACCCCAAACCCCAAACCCTAAACCCTAAACCCCAAACATCCTTAGGGGGTCCGAGTATGACTCCCTTGAGCTTCGGGCTTACCCCGCAGAAAAGGTTCAGGGTTTAGGGTTTAGGGTTTAGGGTTGAGGGTTTAGGGTTTAGGGTTTAGGGCCCTATGAGACATAAGCCCAAGCCCAAAAAACCCTAAAAAGCTCTAAACCCCACAGACCCTTAACAACTCTTTCTAAAACTCTTTCTAAGCTGTTCAACAAATCAAAACACTTCAGGCAAACAACTCTCTAAACCCCACACCCAAACACTGAAAACAAAAAACAAAAAAAACAGCCCTGTAATCTGAACAACTAGCAATCCTGCAAGCCCTTAACTCCCCTAGATTCATGAGCTATATCGTATTTGAGGGCTCGCATCTTAGGGAACCCCATCGCAGACTTTGACGCAGAAGGTGTAGGGTCGAAAGCCTTGGCTGTCTCCTCAACAAACCCTGAGCGGCTTCGGGCTTGCCCCAAGACACTAAAGCCCTAAACCCCAAAAACTAAATGGTAGCCCAGTCAACAGATGATAACAAATGTAACCTTTGTGGGGTTGGCTACTCTAGAAGGGAACCTTAAAAGCAACAAAAACAAAAAAACGAACAGACCACTGGGCTACCAATAACCCTAAACCCTGAACCCAAACCCTAAACCCTGCACGTTGAGGGGCCAAAGGAAGCTCCTCCAGCTCGACGCTGAGGTGAGCGACCTCCTCAACGCCAACAATGCGCCTCGATCGGTGAAGGGGATTTAGGGTTTCGGGTTTAGGGTTTAGGGTTTCGGGTTTAGGGTTTCGAGTCATGAGTTGAAAAGTGCTCCATCAGTGGCTTGAGGGCCCAAGTATGCCAGCCGCTTGGCTTTTGAAGGTGCTATGTAGTAGGGCACCCCACCCCCACCCGCCCCCTTGCACCCGCCGAACTTGCACAGTAGGAGGGCCTCCCGTAGACCCCGAACCCTAAGCCCTGAAACCTCAGTCCTAAACCCCAAACCCCAAACCCTAAACCCTAAACCGGGAACCCTAAACCCTACCCGACCAGGGCTTGCTTCTTACACCTTAGGGTAGCTACATGGCCCCTCAGTAATAGGGTTTCGGGTTTTGGTCCCTTCATATGGGCCCTTACAAGGGGGCCCCGTACATACTCCTTACATACCCTACACAAACCCCAGGGACCGTATTTCAGAGCCCTGTAAAGCAGGTAAGGGACCATCTTGAGAGACCATATAACTACCCCTGGAATAGATTAAGGGACCATACAACTACCCTTAGATTACGCACACTGCTCCTGGCGTAGCTGTTCAGCTTTCTGGTTGAAGGCTTTAGGGTTTCGGGTTTCTGGTTTAAGGCTCGAGGGTTTAGGGCTTCAGGTGTTGCTTGCTAACAAGAACTAATTAAGGAAACTCGCAAGTACAGAGCCCCGAAGCCCATAATTAATACACCCCCGCAGATTCCCACAAATAAAATCACTATACTAACAAGAGTCAAGGGGCTTAAAACCTAAGTTGTCATACTTATGACGCAATTGATCCCCTCCTGATAGGGCATAGGCCAACAATTCAAAGCCTCCCCCCCCCCCCCCCAATTTTTACGGTTCATTGTGCCCGTTTAGGGTTTAGGGTTTAGGGTTTATGCTGCTCTCAGCCCTAGTTAAACCCTAAGCCTAAACCCATGTGAGATTCTCGCCGCCCTTTGTGGTTCTTAAGGTACGACTCCGCGGATGGATAAGCCTTTTGTGAACCCAGTGGCTTAGGGTTAGGGCTTATAAGGGTTAGGGTTTAGGGCTTAGGGCTTAGGGCTTAGGGCTTAGGGTTTCAGGTTTAGAGTTTAGAGTTTAGGGTTTAGGGTTTAGGGCACAGAGGGAGCGGCCAGTTGCAGAGGTCTCTCTTGCCCGAGAAGTCGAAGATGGCGTTCCATAGGTTCCGGGCCTCATGCTTCTGTTTTGGGTTTAGGGTTTAGGGTTTAGGGTTTAGGGTTAGGGTTTTTTGGTTTCTGAGATCCTAAACCCTAAGCCCAAGAGAAACCGACGACGAAGAAGCGCGCCCTTTTTAGCTAAAAGGGACCTAAACCCTAAAAAAGGGAACAAGGACCCCTGCTCTGGGTCCTAGAAACTCTGTTTGGGTGCTGAGGACATGTGGTCATAAAACCTAGTTAAACGCTAAGCCGCCCAGTGAAAAAGCGCACCTAAATACCCGAAGCCCTCAATCCCTGCTATAGAGCTTGCCACTGAGAATCCCGACGACCCCAGCATCATGAACATCAGCTGCTAGAACTTCGCACTGAGAACCCCGACCCGCCGGCGGGGTTCAGAGGAAGCTCTAGCAACTGATGCTCATGATGCTGGCGTGGTCGGGGTTCCTGCTGCAAAGCTCTAAACGCTGATGCTCATGATGCTGGCGTGGTCGAGGTTCCCCAGAGGAAGCTCTAGCAGCTGATGCTCATGATGCTGGCGTGGTCGGGGTTCCCCAGAGGAAGCTCTAGCAGCTGATGCTCATGATGTCGGCGTGGTCGGGGTTACCCAGAGGAAGCTCTAGCAGCTGATGCTCATGATGCTGGCGTCGTCGGGGTTCCCAGAGGAAGCTCTAGCAGCTGATGCTCATGATGCTGGCGTGGTCG